CTCTTCCGTCAACAACCAAAGGAAGTCCGCCCCATCTTGCGGGTCAGAGATGGGCGGCAACCATGCCAGTCCGGCCTCATTCTTAAGCAGTCGCTCTTCAATGCCAGTCGAATTGGCCGGAAGGTGCTTGGTATCATCTTCCACGTCAGAGACGGTCGTATCGCTCTGATCCCCTCTGAGGCGGGCTCGGTAGCGCGAAAGGGATGGCAGGCTAGCATCCACCTCGTAATCTGAGGACGAGTCATCCGAGACAGATGCGGATGCGGAGCGTGAAGACGAGGCGTAGGAAGCTGTTGTGCGTGCTGGTGGATGCGTCGACTCGGCGCCGCCGTAGAGCGACCAATCGATCTTGACCGAAGGCGATTGGCTGTTGCCAAAGAGTCCCAGAAGCATCGTTGAGATACGTGCTGCTGGCGGAGATCAGCAGCAAACGTCTGTTCGGCAGATGAGGGCGAGAGGAGAAGCGAATGGACGAGAGATCCACGCCGACCAGTAGCCAGAGTAACTAGAGTGAATGATCGTTGCGGAAAGTGGCAGCGAACCAGTGAGCTTGCTGAATGTTCAGTGGTGTTGCAATCGCGGATGTGAGTGCTGGTTCGAGAGAGAAAAAGCTTGCAAAGTCCATACACGTGAATGTCGTCAAGATGGATGATCACTGAAGTCAGTATTGAGGTTGTATTCGAGCGACTGCGATTGAAGGCCAGGCATGGATCTCGGTGAAACGGCAAGTGAGCAAGCATCGTTTCCATCTGCAGTCACATCACCAATCACGAATCCTGAGTCACGAGTCAAAATCACAATGTGAATGACCAAACGTTCTCTTCCTCATCAGATGTACCCGGCCTTCCGCACCGCACCGCACCACGCCACATATGTACAGACTAGATAGACAGCTGCAAATCGCCATCAGCACTAGGCGCGCGTGCGCGCAGCCAGCGCGCAGGTTGGGCCAGTGTGCTTCTTCTTCGGGCGGGTCTCCTCGCCAAATCAGATGGCTGTGTCGGCGATTCCAAGATGCTGCATAGCTGCATGCTCTCCTTGCAATGCAGCGCCTTTCGCATTAAATTGAGCCTGATTGATAATTTCAATGCTTCTTGACTGGCGCAGCGCTGGGCTACAACTGGATGCATGCAAGGAGCCGCATCCTCTGAAATTGTGGGTGTCTGCGCATTTGATGAGCTTAAATTGGCCAACGCTGGGCACTGCATGCATGACCATCCTGCATGCAGCAGCTATTTATGTAGCACGCACTTACTGAACGATGCAGCATACTGTATGCCCTTCACGATTAAGAATTCGTGATTGTTCACGAGTCAGATTTGTATAGAGCCGTGATTTTGAACACCGGTATTATTTGGTATCGGCACAGGCTTCACTCTTGAATACCAGTCAAGAAGTCGAGATGAGTCAAGAGCGTCTGTATGACCAGGAATCATGCATGAGCAGCCATACTTGACATCAGATCGACCCACCTTCAGCGTCCAGCAAATTCGTCTTGGCTGGCTCCACCAGCGTGAGAGTCGGAAGAGGCTGTCATGCCGCACGTGATACCGCAACGCTCGGGCGGGTGCCTCAAACTCTTTTGGCTGTCAAGCAGTGCCATTGTCCGTGCGCGAGCATCTGACGCGTCGCGTCTCGACTTGCTGGTTGAACGATGGCTCTGATGATGCTCTCGCGACCCATTCTTGATTGCAAGTCTCATCAGACAAAAGTGAACCCCTCAAATCATGTCTCACATTCATATTCAAGGTTGTGGCTCTATTGGTGCCCTCAATTCTACAGAGACTCTTGACTCCTTGTGATCGTGACGATGAGCATCAGAAGCGTGTGAGGATAGCCATAACAACCACGTGAGTCGCAATCGGAATCAATCATGGCGAATAAATCACGAATGAATGATGGATGTGAATGCACGACTCTTTCCCTGTGCGCGTTGCGCCGCTTTCTTGAAACCCCTCAATGCAGACCCTTCCTGCCAATTTGCAACAACCTCAAGCGGGCACCTCGCAACTCAGATTTCGCGACGACCCCTTTGCTGAACCCTTGCATCGCTCACCGAAGACCGACAGATGCCCGAGTCAAGAGCACCGGAACACATGGTTGAACGCGTCAAAACGGGATGGCGATGCAGTGTCGGGCGCGCTGCTGGTCACCTTCTCTGCTGCATGGGTCGATGAGAGGCGAGATTGCCGAAGCCAATCACTCACGAAATCCTCCATCGTTGACTAAACGGCTCCTGCCGGGAAGGCACTTGACTATTTCGTCTTTGTCATGCAGCGTGCTGCTTTCTGAACCAGCAGTCAGATTATTATTGATTGAGGGAAGTCGGGTAGATCACGGCATGATGAGCAGTCAAGAGTCCATCACGAATGTGACCGAGAATAATGGACGCTAAATCGACATGATGAGCTCGAGCCCCATTCGTGTTTCCATAATCACGAATCTTGAATAGTGTTCGCCCTTGCGGAAGGAAACTAATCATTTGCACGGGTCTGGGGTATGACTGCTTCCTAAATAGTCACGCTTGAGCTGTCGCTTCCTGTGGATATTGACCCCATTTTGGCACTCGACAGGAGATATTGAAAGAAAAGACGCTAAACGAGCCGCTAGGGCAGTCAGATGCAGAAGGGAGCGCAGGCATCCCAGCGCACATTTTTCATCTCGACCCGCTGGCGCCTCTTCTTCAAACCTTGTCGGGTCGTGACATCGGTTAGGATTCTTGATTGCCGCCTTCAGCGATCCTTCTTTCCTGGAGTCATCGTCACACCGATAGTTGTCAGCCCCGAGCCGCCAAGAAAACCTGCTCCTTGCGCATGTGGCTCGGTGCATGAAGCAGTGTGGCAGTCACCACTGTCAGCCTTTTTGAGGCTCAACTAGGCCGACGCTTTGACTCTTGGGTTTTGCTGCTCCGCCGCATCCGAGTCTGAGGACATGCCTGCTCTGCTGACATCGCTTTGAGCCTTTGATTGCGCTGGGCATGATAATGGGGAGCAATTCCCGTTCCCGCTAGCGCGATGAGCTCGCTGGCCTACTGCTACATATATATATATGTATACTCATCATTCACGAATGTGAGTGACCATACCAAACCACTTTATTCGCAACATCTCCGGGACAGTCGGGAGATTTGTTCCAGCGGCTTGACGGTACATTCAGTGATTTCAAGCCGTGTTGAGTACCAACGTTGCTCTATAGACCCGGCCTCTGCGCGCAGTCATGAATCATATCCTGCGCTCATGGCTTCTTCGCGGGCGAGAAGCGCAGACCCACGCTGACGACAGTGTGCTCGCAAAGACTATCTATCTCAATCAAGGCCTTGATTTGTTTTTGGTTCTCATTTGACTTCAAAACTCTTAACTCATATTCAAAATTCACATTTTGATTCAAACACATAAATCAGATCGTGACCGGTCGCCCCTGCTGGATCGGTGCTGGTAAGCACAGCTGGCTCGCGTCTTTGCTGCACGTCACACGCCCTTTGCATGAGCCCCATTTGAGTAAATCTTGAATGCAGCGCGTGCGCGCACGCGCGTGCGTAAAGGTGCCCGTCCCGCATCCGCATTTGCATGAGTTGGGCTTGGCTGCTAGCTGCATGTTGGTGCCCATGTACGGTACCGGTATGCCTACACGAGGTTGGAGTTGCTGTAAGCAGCAGCTATGGCGGAGATCAAAGGAAGCGCCGTCGGAACGTCAATCGGCGAGGAGCGTCTGCTATGCAGCACGTCCACCTTCATACTTCGCCCTGACATCTCATTCGCACTTTGTGTGTGGTCATAGTCCATACCACCTGTAGTCTCGCTGCATCTGGCCGCCTCAATCTGCCGACACCTCACCACGGATCACCAACGGCGCAGCGTGGGCCCCACAAGTTGGCGGTGTCACTCGTTTGCGCGTGCAGCGCAAGGCAGCAAGTGTAAAGCGACGAGGCAGGTCATTGCTCTAAACACCCAGATCATCGACACCACGTCTGCTACCACGAAGCAGAGGCCCCGTAGCATTGCCAACGTGAGTAAATGCTGATTTCCGAAGGGTGGGTACCTACATGTGGGCGGCCCCTGGGCCGTATAGACCCGGTCATACGAAGCCGCCGCCTTGGCCGCGGTACCATCATATATGGTTGAAGGGGCTTCGCGGGATCTATATGCTTGCGATCGCCGCCTTGCTGGTGTGATCCCGTATGGGGGTCCACTCCCAGTGACGAACATCGCATTTGCAAGGCAGTGGCTGCAGCCGCATGCAAATACGCACCGGCCAAGCCTTGAGCATGTATGCGCTCTTCTCGTCTAAGGTGCGCCGAGGTGGTCGCAAGCCCTTGCCCACATCGAGCAGGATCATGGGCTCTCTCATGCTCGACGCGCCACCTTGATCAGGCAGTGACTGTCTATGGCTGACCACGACCGCAACGCGCTGCTGTCTTTTTCTTCTCAGCCCCGCTCACATAGTGACATGAAAGTGTCGTAGCTATTTTGTCTTTCTCTACCTCGGCGCATACAATCCGATCGTTTGACCGAGCAGCAGGAGAACAGAAGTACATCCCATCAAAGTCCCCAACCCGTGCAGCGACACAAAGCCTAGTGCGGTATTCAAGTAGATGAATCATCAGCCCGCAACATACCTCAGGAGCCGCCATCATACTATAGTAGTGCTTACCCACCAATCATCCCTCTATTCGTCCGCCGCCTTCCGCATTGCGATTGCCCACAGCACGCGGTGTGTCCGCTGCTAGCACTGGTGCGCCCCGGCTCATCATTAGTGTCATCTACGAACTCATCTCGCAGCTACTGCTGCTGCTTCAGCCCCGTTCATTAGCGAAAAGTACGCGCTTGGTCATCAGCGCACCTCTCGCTTGATCGCTCGGCGGCGGCGTGTCACATCAAAGTCGGTAGCGCAACGCGCAACTTGATTGCGTCACTTGGTCAACTTCGGTGCTGCTGACGACCCGATCTTGAGCACGACGTCCTTGAAGGTCCCCACCTCTCCACCTTCCGACCTTCCGATCATAGCGCCTAACGCACACTGCGCGCCACATTAGTGGTCATGGTTGATCATGAGATGCGTCGCAGCGCCTCTCCCCTCGTTGGGCCATCTAGCAGCATGGCGGCATATGCGGGTCCCAGCTCCTCAAGATCGCCAGCGCTAGGTATCAATAGCCACGCATATGCGAGTGCATCCTCCGCCATCCGAGCAACGAATGGTCTGCCCGCACCTGGCCAGTCCACGGCCACCCACGACCCTACTGCAAGGGGTCCATCTGAACCACGATTACAGGTTCCAGGCGCATCCCGACCCGTCACTACAGCAGCTACACTGATGAGGGAAGGCACGCGAGATTTCACTGTGATCAGAGACGTGGGAGATGGGTCCTTTGGAACTGTGTGTCTGGCGGATTGGCACTCGCCCTTGCCGTCAGGGACTCTGCTCAGTCCGATGCAGCATCCAACCACAAGACCGGAATACGTCGGGAAAAGACTCGTCGCTATCAAGAAGATGAAGAAGCAGTTCAAGAGTTGGGAAGAGTGCATGACGCTGAAAGAGTTAAAGGTAGGTGACTGGCAGACAAGGGGCGCATATGGGCGGGATAGGGGGACCACTGAGGCGGGGTCTTCAGACACGGCTGCTACGCGAGGCGTTTTGGGTCGAGCCCTTGCACCTCTTGATCTCCTTCTGACAGCGCTTGCTGACGCGTGTTACCCATCTCCAACAGTCTCTGCTTGAGATCACGGCTCATCCCAACATCATCCCACTGTACGATGCTTTCCTGATGCCGGTGACCAAGGAGCTACACTTCGTGTTCGAGTGCATGGAGGGTAATTTGTACCAGCTCATCAAATCGCGCAAAGGCCGCCCTTTGGCTGGAGGCTTGCTGGCGTCAATCTTTCAACAAATTATTCGAGGGCTGCATCACATTCATGAGAGCGGCTACTTCCATCGCGATATGAAGCCAGAGAATCTCCTCATCACGACTACCGGTCTCACCGACTATCCGTCAGTCAACGTGTTGGATCCTGTTCTCTCGAAGTCTCGACAACAGCCCGACAAGGATGTTGTGGTGATCGTGAAGCTGGCAGATTTTGGTCTTGCACGAGAGACAGCGAGCAAGCCGCCATACACGGAATACGTCTCCACACGATGGTACCGGGCACCCGAAGTGCTGCTGCGCTCCCGCGACTACTCCAACCCCGTCGACATGTGGGCTTTGGGGACGATCCTTTCGGAACTGATCACTCTCAAGCCACTCTTTCCGGGGCAAAGTGAAGTGGACCAGGTGATGCAGATCAATCATGTCTTGGGTGATCCTTCGGCGGACTATGGCAAGGACAGCCGTGGACGCGTGCGCGGTGGTGGCGATTGGCCTGGGGGAATAGAGATGGCCCGGCAGGTTGGCTTCACTTTCCCAAAGGTGAGTATTGTTCCTTCATTTCCTCGCATTCGGCGGACGCAGTCGAGACCGGCTACTGTGGTGGCACCGCTAGGCTTTTGCGATCCACAGGAAAATGTTGACCTTGGACTCATTGATTTCTTAGGCAAAACCTTTTAATTTCGCTGCTCTCTTCAAGTCGAATGTGCCCCTGCTGCTCATTGAATGCGTGCAGGACTTGATCAGATACGACCCCGACGCCCGCTTGACTACACGTCAGTGCATGCAGCATCCTTACTACACGCAAGTCGCGCCGCGTTTGCTACCTCCCCAAGCTCGAGCTCCTGCATCACAGCCGACGCCATCGCAGAGAGTGCCGCAAGCGCAGCCTCCACCGTTCCCGGCAGATCGCATGGCTGTTGACCCTGGATCTCCACAGCGCGTCCTTTCGCCCTCTCACTCAAACCAGCCGCAATCCAGCAAGCTAGCGTTTGGAGCGAATTCTGGCGCACCAGAATTACCTAGCAAAGCGCAGGCAGCCAGGGGAATGCCCGGTGCGCCGTCTGCAGAGCACCGCGTGCCCTTCTATCCTCAGGCACAGCATACAATGCAAGACATGATAGCTGAGGCTCGCTCAGGACCCGTCAGCCAGACAGCGACTTCGCCCTACTCAGAACAAGGGCCTGGAGATATGACTCAGTGGGCGCCAGTGGCTGGCCCATCGGTTCGCGACTCGTCCATGTCACAATATCCCGCTTTTCCGGAGTCTGCATCGATCTATTCGGGAAGTCACGCCTCGATGCATTTGGACGACTCGCTATCGCGACAGCGCATGCATGCGCCTCCTATCGAGCTCGGTGGTCGCGGACCGCAACAAGCGCGAGGGATGGTCGCATCTAGCAGTCAGAGAACGGTCTATGACGACTCTTTGTCGCTTTCATTGGAGCAAGAAGATCGTCGAAGGCAGGCCGCGGCTGCGGCTGCAGCTGCAGCTGGAATTAGTGGGAACGAACCCATGTCTCAGGATATGACTGGTACCACGGAGTATTCTGGCGAGAGGCGAAGGAGTAAAGGCTGGAGTGGCATGAGCGTATTTGGAAGGTCGTCGCAGACGCCAGCCCAGACGCAAGCAGCGGGTGCCCCCCGCCAAGCTCAGACACATAGTGCTCCGATCGCGCTTGACTCAAGCACCAATTCCAACATCAACGAGCCAACAGCAGCACAGCGGATCGCGGCTGAACATGCGACGCCCAAGGATGCCAAGAAAGCAAAGAAAGAGGCGGAAAAGGCTGCCCGAGAGGCCGAAAAGGCGAAACGTCTGGCGCAAGAGAAGGCAGCTCGTGATCGTGCGCGAGCCGTCATGCAGAAGCGTAACCAGATTTTAGCCTCTAGCAACAGCCGCGAGCAGGTAGAGTGGCTGGGTGATGCCGTGACGCAATCCATGTCACCCAGCGACAAGGCGCGAGGCAAACAACCGCTGGGGGTGTCAGGAATCACTTCCCCGACTTCCGGCGGACCGAGAGTCTCGGGTTCGGACTACAGTGGTGGACCTTCACCAATGAGCTCAAACTTCGCGAACAATTATGGCACCCCACCGACCTCCATGTATCAGAACAGCTCGATGAGTGCTGCTTGGCAGGCGAGGGATGGCGATGCTTCTTTCCGAGCCAAGGCCAGACGCAGAGATGCGGACGACGATCACTCTATGAGCTCGTTGGATGGTGCGATGTCAGATCCACGCCGGGGCTCCATGGCGACATTTACTTCGCAACGAAGTGATCCTCTGTCGCAACGACCCCACCATCCCGGATCTGGACACCTTCACCGACAAGGATCGGCCATCTCAGTGGGAAGCGCACCAAGCCTTATCGATCATCAGCCTGGCCGCTTCATGACATCACTCGAGTCAGCAAGACAGGCTGGGGACAATCGTTCTTTGAGCTCGTTGGAGAATCAATTCGCTGGCGCAAATTTGGCTGAAATGCGCGCCAGAACACCAGGAAGTGCCTCGCCGGGACCGAATAATATTGGAGCCACTCGGCGATCTGTGAGCCGTGGCAGCGCACGTGGCTCCCTGCACAGAGCTGGATCCGCTTCTCCTCTACATCACACTGCTGCTCCCCGCTTCCATCCGTATGGGCCGACAGGAGGCACCACGTCTCCCTACAATTTTTCTGCTCCGCCATTGCCACCAATAGCTGCTGGAAGCGGCAACAACGACTACATCAGTTCTGGTGGAAGCGGCAGTGGTAGTACCCATCCAGCCACACCTGGAAGACCAAGGAGTGGTATGAGGCGGCGTTCGTCGAACAATTTGCCAAGGGGGATGTCGCGTGGAAGCGTAGGATCGAGTCATGGAGGTGTAGAGTTTCCGCCCTTCAACGTCGCTTCGATTCAGCCTCAGGTGACGATGCAAACTGGCGCGGGCGGTGTCAATCCGATGTTTCAAGTGGGCGCCAAGGGAGCCGGAGCGGCGTCGCAGCAACATCAGCAGCTGCCTCCCTTCTCAGAGCTGGCTGCTGCAGCCGATACACCGGACGAATTCGACTCCTTCAATCGCAGCATGATCGGTAGGGGATTGCAACCGCAGCAGCAAGCTCCACATCAGCATCACCATTCGTCGAGACAGTAGGACCCGCTCATTCTCATGGAAAGCGGACCTCTCTGATCAAGATCAACCAGCCGTGGTCTTGTCGTCTGCGATTTGGCTTTCATCGGGTTTTGTGAAGGACTCACTACGTCAAGCCACGTTCTGCCAGCTTGTCTTTCATCCCCTTCTGTTTTGGTTGTTTCTCGCAGTGCAGGTCTAGATCAGACATACACACTCTCTTTGCTTTTCGCAATGTCATTGGCCACCTTTTCCGGATTGCGAGACGCACATGAAGGCGCTGAGATTACCCATATGCGTGGTCGACTTGTGAAGCAACATTCGATATGAAGTGCACCTGCCAAGCCCGACGTATTACGAATGATAGCGCTGTTTGTTGACCGCGCTGGCCATCAAGAGGCGTTCTGCGCGTCAATGATCCGCTCTGACAGAGAGGCGTCATCCTTGATCAAGCCCAATGCGACGCTTCCCAACCGAGCCCGCAGATCTTCATGGTCCACGTCGTGCGTGTCCTCTGGTTGTATTGTCCAAAGACGATAATTCAAAGCTTCAGCTCGAGCCTCCGGCTGCCAAATCACAGCCAAGCCAGATGCTTGACAGCCACTCACCTACTTCTCCCCACTTTTCGGTCTGGCTCTTGACCTCCACCTCAGCAGCCTGTGCAGCTTCTTCCACACCCCACTCTTCTGCTTCCTGGATTGCCGTAGCGTTTCTAGAATTTTCCAAGAGTTTGAGAGCAATGATGAAGCTCTTGGTGGACATGACTGCTCGTTCGAATGCTGCCAATTCCAAAGAGTCGTACTTTGAAATGTGAGATCTCAATTTGGAGGTGGTGTCGGGAGATTGGGAGGAACCTAGCAGAGATGTGATTGGATTGACCTCGACTTGAAAGGTGCTGCGCACCCACGAGATGAGCGGATCCCAGTGCTCCTGCTGTAGCTTCACCAGCACCGGCGGCTCTTCCTCTTGATAACTTCAGCGAGAGAAGAACGATTGTCAGCCTTGCCGACATGTGTAGAGGATCGACTTCGACATGTGTATGCACATTGACTTACCACACCGTATCCGTTTCAAGATACTTGATGAGATCATCACACACCTTTTCCCGATCCTCAGGCGTGGCAAAGCCGTCGATAGCTCTGGCAGCCAAGCTAGTCTGTAG